CTGCTACTAATCTTAGGAAAACAAATTATAAAAACCATTGGTGTCAGGAGTGGGATTTGATGTGATGGCTCCAGACCCAGGGAAAGATGGGATTTTGTAAGAAGTTAGGACCTTGGTAAATGCAGTTCAAGTGTCTACCTTTGAAGCAACTAAAATGGAGGGGAAAGTTAATCTACATTTGGTTAGAGACCATATGCATATGAGATAAGGGTGGAGAATGAAGCTGAAACTGTTAATTTCTCCAAAGGTTTATGTGTTTATTTAATTTTATTAATATTGTTGGTTTAGGAGTTTTGTTGTGTGGTTTTTTGGTGGTTGTTCATATAGTAATGTTTATATTGTATAAACAATTAAGGTTTTTGCTGTTTCAATGTTAAAAATGTAGGATATAAATACTAGGTATTGTAAATTTTGAAACTACACCCTGAGACCAGTGGCTTAAGTGGATATACAAAAAGGGGGAGATTTGCCCTGGAGAAATGCTTGTTTTAAGAAACCAAACTAGAGGGCATGGGACTTGACCTGGGGGAGGACTATATTCCACACAGCTCTGAGATTTGCATTTGAATAGATCCTCCTGGGACGTTTGATTGAAGAGATGTACATTTGGAAGAAAGTTAAAAAAAAAAAAAACAAAAAAACCCCAACCCTACTCTGAACTAGAACAAGGAGTTTGGCTTCTGAGGTAAAGTAAGGTTAGTACCCATTAGAGCCCCTTTCCAGGACTTGAAGTTAAAGGGAGCTGGCAAATATGCTTACTTTTGGTAACCACCCGAATACCCCAAGTGGAATTAAGAGGCATGCAGCAATGAAGAGGCAGGCTGAGTTTGGACACACTCCATCAGCTTTGTGGATCTAGCATGGACAAATACATGGATAAGGACGACAGGTTTGCTGGCTTTGAGAAGCAGGGTTGTTGAACCCATGTTGTTGATTTGGCTCCATGTGGAGGTTAAAGCTGAGTGAAGAGACCAGTCAGTCTGGAGCACAGGAAGAAGTGTGGCCTCTTTGGACTTAGCCTTTGATAGCCTGTGATGAGCTGACCAGAACCCAAGAAGATGTTCCATGTTGTGAGCTCATGTTGACCACTACAATGTGATGGTCTGCTCTTGACTGGAGTTTTGCTTATGGATGCAGATGCTAAGAGTTCTAACTGGAGCAGAAGTTTCTTCAGAGAAAGGAATATGCTTGTTTCCTCAATACTGGTTTGATAGGGACAAGCAAATCAAACTGGCCATCTAAAATGTGGAAGATTAAAACATGAGGCATGAAGTTGCTGACTTACATACTTTCATGAATATAGCTTTTGTATATTTTAAAGGAAAAGTTAATTTTTCCCATATGACTATTAATGAATAGAAAAGCAAGAGGAGTCTGAGACTCCACTCTGTGGAGTCGATCTTTCAATATGACTTTCCTAGCCTTAGTTTGACATTGCCATGTGCAAGAATACGGGCATAATAGGGCATGTTATTCTATCCACAAGGGGATTGGCTAGTTTCACCACTAACTTGAACAATAAATGAACAGAATTAGACCTTTCATGCCCTGGCAAAGATGCAGTTAAAGACCAGACATTCTTACTCCAGCAGCAGCAGCCATGGCTGAAACCAGAGATCTTATGTGAGATGGGACCTTGGGACTGCTACACCATTGCAACCAGAGCTAAGAGCCTTTGACCAAATTTGTTAGACAAGTAGGGGTGGGGAGGGCATGCATCATCTGCAGGACTGAGAACTTTGTAAAACTGGCCTAAAGCCATGAGGATGAAGGCTGAAGTGCCTGACAGCACATCTCAGATGCCATTCTGACTATATTCTGCTCCTAACCTGGATTATATCTTTTTTACTTCCCCAGTAGACATCTGTGTGGTCTGTGAGCTATCACACTGGATTCTGGACCCAGTAAAGCAAAGTGTGACTGGTGTTGAGATGAGTATAAAGAGGTCTTGGAGTGTGGAGAGCATATCTGACCTCATGAGAATTGGTTTTGTGTTGCTGAGGCTGTTGATGGAGACAGTTCCCCTTTGTGAAGTAGATACAGGTTAGACATGGCAGTCCCTATGTGGCTCTTGCTTTTTTTATATCCATATAGTTTGCTTAGCATAAAGATAGGTTTGGAGAAAGAGTATAAACCTCATGCACACCTTTCCTAGTATTAAATCATACCATGCTCCCTTTGTTTTGCTCCCACAACTTTTTGTTCTAGATACAGATTTCATGTGAGCACAATTAAGTGCTCTGGGATTCCCATTCTTCAAGTTAGCTATAATTTGTTATGATCCTCACAGTCAAAAATGCCTTTGCATAATCAGAAAACCAGGCATTTGACTGTGTGGATCACAACAAACTATGGCTGACTCCGTGAAAAATGGGAATCCCAGAACATTTCACTGTGCTTATGTGAAACCTATATTTGGACCAGGAGGCAGCTGTCAGAACATAGCAAAGAGACATTGTATGGTTCAAAATCAGGAAGGGTGTGTGCCAGGGATGTATCTGGTCCCCACATCTTTTCAATCTATATGCAGAACAGATCACGTGGGAGGCTGGGCTATATAAGAAGGAATATCGCATCAGGATTGGAGGAAGATTCATCAACAACCTGTGATGCAGATGACACAACCCTGCTTGCTGAACGGAGGACCTGAAGTGTTTGCTGCAGAGCATCAAGGATTGCAGCCTTCAGTATGGCTTTAAGCTCAACATCAAGAAAACAACAAGATTCTCAGGCAGCATTGTGACAAGACAGTGAAGAGACTGAGATTGTTAACAGCTTTAGGTTGCTTGGCTCAACAATTAACACTCTTAGTACCAGCAGCCAGGAAATCAAGAGATGAATTGCACTGGGAAAGTTGGCTGTCGGCAACCTCTCCAGAATGCTGAAGAGCAATGATCAGTCTGGAGACTAAGGTGCATCTGATCCAGGCCATAGTCTGCAATTGCTTGCTATGCATCAGGAGAGCTGGACGATGACTAGGAATGATGGAAAGAGAATTGATGCCTTTGTGCTGTGGTGCTGGAGAAGAGTATTGAATATACCATGGACTGCCAGAACAAACAAGTTTGTCCTAGGTAGAGTGAAGCCAGCCTGCTCCTTGAAGGCAAGTATTCTGAAGCATTATCTGACATACTTGGGGCATGTTGCAGGAGGGACTTGTCCTTGGAGAGGGACATCATGCTTAGAAGAGTGAAGGGACAGAGAAAGAGAGGGAGACCATCGATGAGATGGACTGATACAGTGACTGGCGTAATGAGAGTATGTGTGTCAGAGACAGTCAAGTTGGCAACAGGACAGAGCAGATTTCAGGGCTGTTGTACACAGGGTTGCTATGAGTCACAAGTGACTTGACAGCACATAACAACAAACTTTTAAAAAAAATTTTATTTTTTATTATTTTGTGTGTGTGTGTGTACCATCAAATCGGATCTGACTGGTATAGAAGGAGAATGTCCTCCTTCTCCAGCAGAGCATCTGGTGGATTTGAACCGTGCACCTCTGGGTTTGCAGTGCAGCTTCTTGCCACTAGGCCACCAGAGCTCCCTAACAAACATTTTTTTTGCCAATTTCTCCAGGGCAACTTGAATTTCCTCTTTCATTCCATTGCTTCTTGGTCATATGTTGTTTCATGAAATTCATCTGTGTCAGTGACTATATATAGTTAATCCCAAAACTGTCTAAGTTAGGTTATTTCTGATATCTTTTATATTAAACTGCCTGTTAGATATGGCACTCTGGTGGTTTGTTGTTGTTGTTAGGTGCCACTGAGTATGTATGACTCATAGTGACTCTATGAACAGACCTGAACCCTCTCCTATCCTGTGTCATCCTCACGGTCTCTGACACACTTGAGCCCACTGATACAGTCTCTGTGTCAATCCACCTCGTTGGGCATCTTCCTCTCTTTCTCTGATCCTCTATCTTTCCAAGCATGATGTCCCACACCAAGGAACAGACTATCCTAGTAACGTATTCAAAGAATGAGAGATGGTACTGTCATCTTTGCATCCAACGTCTGGCTGCACTGAAATACTTGGTACTCTTCTCTAGCACCACACCTCAAAGCCATTAATTCTTCTGTTATCCTTATTCACTGTCCAGCTCTCAGATGTGTAGGAGATGATTGAAAAAAAAAACCCCATGGTCTGAATCAAGTGCACCTTACTCTTCAAGACTGCATCATTGCTCCTCAGTATTTTGGAGAGATCCTTGATAGCAGACTTGTCTAATACAATACATCTCCTGACTGCTGGTGCCAAGGGTGCTGAATGCTAAGCCAAGCAAGATGAAATCACTGACAACTTCAATTCTTTCACCATGTATCATGATGTTGTCTACAGACCCAGCAGTGAGGACCTTTGTTTTTCTGATGTTGAGATGCAATTCATGTACTTCAAGTCATCTTCATTTTCTGTAAGCAAGGTTGTGTCATCTGAATAATGCAGGCTATTGATGAGTCGTCCTTCAATCTTGATGCCACATTCCTCTTCAGAGTCCAGCTTCATGAATTATTTGCTCAGCATACAGATTGATTAGGTATGGAGAAAGGATACAGCTCTGAAATCCTCTTCCTGATTTTAAGCCATTAAGTGTTCCCTTGCTCTGTCACACAAGAGCTTTTTGATCTTGGTATAGATTTTTCATGATCACAATTAAGTGTCCTGGTGGTTTAGTGGTAGGGAATCGTGCTGTCAACCCAAAGGCGAGCAGTTTGAATCCACCAGTTTCTCCATGGAAGAAAGGCAATCACCTCCTGTGCCTCTGAGAACCCCCTGGAAGTTATGAGTTGACTCCAACTTAATAGTACAGAACATTTCCTGCAACTAAGGTCACAGACCGTTTTAATGTGTCAAAATCCACGTAACTTCAGCTCCAAATTCATATGGCTCATTCTTAGCTTTGAAGCATCGCATACAAACTAGGGCTTTCTACCTAGCTTAATGGTTCATCAACTAAGGAGAAAATAGTCTTTCTTATCAGACTCATCAAACACACATAGATCAAATGAGACCAGGGGCCCTAGAATAGACAAAGAAGAGAGAAGACAAAGGGCCCTAGAATAGACAAAGAAGAGAGAAGACAAAAAAATCCTAAGTAAACAAAGAATTCTTTATTTTAAATGTAGACAGTATCATCATTCATCCAAAATAATTTATAATAATTACCTCTTAAATATTCTTATAAATGATGTCTCTGAAGTTAAAAGTAATGCAGATTCAATCTGGTTTTTAAAACATTTACTTAAAATATATTAAACCAATGACAGTAGGGGGGAGGGAGCTATCTCCTATGAACTCTTCTAAAAAAGAAAGTCATGACAATCCTGATATGCTAATTGTCCCTTTATTAATAGGGATTTTAAAAAAAAAAATTACCTGGACTTAAAGAAAACAACAAACTCCTGGGACTTGTTCTTTTGTGCAAATCCAAGTCTTCTGAGTTAAAATGACATTCTGACTTCCCTCTACA